TAAAAATCCACTTGCAAGTTCTTTGGGGTTTGTTTGTTGACTTTCACAATCTTTTTATGTGTTCATGTCATACTGGAGAACAAATGATTACAGATGGAAAAAGAAGAGTGTCACCTCTGGCCTATACTTCTCTCTATCAGATACACACCGATACACACACACACACACACACACACACACACACACACACACACACACACACACACTACTCTCATGTGCAAATCAAACACAATCACTCATATGCTCCCACATATAGTTCCTGTCATTCCTTCTCTAGCCCTCCCCCTCGTCCCCCTTCATGTGTCTGTGGGAAACACGTTCATTTGACCTAGACCACCAATGGGACCACAGTCAGCTTTGACTGACACCCACATCACTGCAGATTAACCAATCATATCGCAACATTAGCCTGTCAGGGAGCTGACAGCTCTGATTTTCATAAAGGAAGCAGCACGTTGATTGTGTATGTGCGTCTGAAAGAGCCGAAGTGACCCAGGGCGCGTCTGGCCACAGAAAACCCTAACATGTGCACTTGGACCGCGGTTAGCCAGGGGCTTCTCTTTCACACATGCATGCTCGTACTCGTGCACGCACACACGCAGACACATTCCTGCCCCCTCAGCACAGGAAAGAGCCCTGGAAAGCACTAGAGACCCAGAGGTGAACAGCACTGCCATCTCCACCCACCTCTCCTACCAGCATTACATCAGAATTGATTGACCCTTGCACTGAGTTGTGATTCAGAGCTGCAGTGTGCAGGGGATTGACAGCATGGAACTACTTGTTATTTCAGGTGGTTTTCTCTTTTTGTGTCTGTCTGTTACTGCAGGAAAAACTCTCCTTCCCTATATGATAGTTGATGCTGGGTGTAGGATCATTGCATATAAATAGTTGCCAGTGTATTTAATACTGTAAACCAATGCATATTAGCTGTCCAAGCTGTACATTAAACTGCTAATCTTACACTTGAGCATGTATACTGCATCAAACAGATGGAGGGCACAGAAAGACATGAGACAGACACATAGTGAGTGAGTGCTCTGATAGGCTCGGTTGGGGTAAACGGGCGGAGAGGATTGTTGGTCCCCAACGAGGCGAGCTAACTGGGGGAAATTAGGTCAGTGTGTTCCCTCTGACTCCACAACAAGAACAGGCTGTGCATGAGTGTGTGTGTGTGCGTGTGCGTATGCGTGTGTGTGTGTGTGTGTGTGTGCGTGCGTGCGTGAGTGCGTGCATGTTTGTCGGTGCACCTACCAAAGCTCCATTCTGCACAACTTATATGCTTTGCAGGTCTATGAGTCTGTGTGTTCTCGTACACTACCTGCAGCATGTTAGTGAAAATTCTGTCAAAAGATATTCAATAAAAGTGATAATAATGTCCTGCATAAAGTGTTTGACTGGGACACTATAATCCATGATGCTAAAGCATATTTGTTCCTTCACTCCTAAGGAAATGTGGATGTAACTGATCATAATACAAAAATTCTGCAAAGATAAAACATATAAAGCGAAGTGAAATATATCCCATTAAAATAGAGATACAGGCCTTCACAATAAAAGCTGCATGGGGAAAGATGGAGTCAGTTCTGCTGTCATTTGGCCTCCAGAGGATGTGGATGCTCTCATATTCCACCTACCGCTCAGCTCTGTTTTTGCTCTGTCTGTCTCTCTCTCTCTTTTCATGTCTGCTGATCAGGAGAAGTCACACATACTATAATTGATATGAGATTTAGGGGGTATATTTTAATGTAATTAGAATCTTCATAATTGGACTAATTAGATCTAATTGCTATGTGAGAATGACTTTGATTAAAACAGGTTTCTCTCTGCAAAACCTGAGCAGAAACATTAATAGGTGACATTGGTGAGACGCAACGCTGAAGCTCTTTTGCAATAATCAAGGATGTGTGAAAATGAAATGTTTGCGACAGAAACAACAGATTTTTAAAATTATCATTAAAAAAATTTCTGAAGCTTGAGAGGGATTGTTTTATATAAAATGTGATGTTTGCAAAGCTTTTGCAACACTGTGGAGAATAGTACATGTAAAGTACTACTGAAGTTCACTCAGCAGGACTTTGGTGAGGTGTAACAAATATTCAGATCATAGAGTATGTTTACCTTTTCTGGAAGTTTAGACCAAACCATCCTAAAGCATTACATTGGCCATATCGAATTACCATATTGAGTCAGATGCTTTGATTTTACTCAGTGCTATTCTGTGAGAAAAAGTTTGGTTAAGATTACACTCGTAGACATCAAATAAGCTGAAACGTCGGTAGGAGTCTTTCATGCATGTTCAAACAGACAGCAGAAGCTTATGAACTCAAGAAAGAAGAATCATTACTGGCCTGTTTTCACAATCTTTTTCAATTGCACAGAATTGACTTGCATAGTCAATACGTGCATAAAAAGCTGTACTGTGCTGTCTTTGAAATTGAAATGTTATGGTTTACGGTTATAATGAATTTTTTGTTTTGCTTTTGAGGTTGTCAACTGGGAACTTCTCGTGAGTTAGTCTAAAATAGAACACAAGGGAAATTACATAGAGAACATAATTAATGGGAAGAAATGTGAAATTACAGAGAGAAAATATAATATACAACTAATAGATTAAACTATTGGTGGCCACGCATATAACAAGATCATTTCATTTTGATATATTTGGTTCGGTTTCATAAAAGTTTCACCTACAGTGACAGCCTGCAATGCACATATATGATATTAACTTAAACTACATATTGTTGAAGACTGTACCTACTTCATTACAAAATAAAAGTGCTGAACAATTATTGTAGAATAAAAGGCTTTGGATTGTGACGTTCTGCAAATAAGTGAATAACGTTAAAGACATTGCCAAAACTTTCCAAACTAAATCTTTTTATTTGTTAATGGTCGCACCGGAAAGCACAAGCATCTGATTTGCAGATTTGTGTGTCGGGACGCCCTATGAGAAATGTGAATGAGCTCAGTCTCTTGTGGCTCAATAGATGGCAGTAATATCCCTCAATCACTGCAGCAGGAATCCTCATCCCACATTAAATACATGTATACACAGAGAGTGAGGCGCGCACACACACACAGTCAAGGAATGATGCACATAGAAAACACAAACACACTCCCACGCACATGCACATAAACACACACACACACACACACACACACACACACACACACACACACACACACACACACACACACACACACACACACACACGCAGATACAAACAGAGCTCTCAAAATGCCAGAAGAGATGGAGATGACATCATTAAGGCAGCAAAAATAAGAAATCTGTAAACAATCCCTTTGGTCTGCATCCCCAGGTGATGTAGAAGAACCCAGAGTAAGTCAAACAGCACAGTGGGGGAGATGGGTGAGGGCATACGACTTTGAGATTTCACTGTCTTTAACTTTATTCTGAAAGCCAACACTGGCACTGTATCTCTCTAATGCTCTGATTAGGCAAGGGCGAAAAAAGGCGCCTTTAGCTCAGAGATACTGTAATGTGTGTGCTTGTAAAGATGAAATCAATAGCAGCAGCACCTTCACAGGGCATGAGGGAACCGCCAGGGCTCAGACTCAATACAATCCGTACCTATAACTGACAGAAACGTCTCATCTCGCCGAAACCCCGGCGACTGCTTAGAGGAGAAAAAAGCAGCACTATGAATAATCGTGAAAACCATTTAATTGTGTCCCTTTGTGTGCAGCTTGCCCGGGTTTCTGTGTTCGTTTTGTATTCACTCTCCCTCCAGATAGTCCCTGTGTCGTCATTTGTTGGCAGGATACGCTGGTAATCATTTGAATTCCCCCAGTATGTTCAGAAGATGTCAGGGAGTAGTCTCTGATCTTGTTTAATATGTGACCAGCAGCTATAAATTACCAACTCCCAGAAATGAGGAAACATGGGTACTTTTAAATCTCCAGGGAGAGCTCTCTTTTAGTCTCTTGCACTCACACTCTCTCTCTCTCTCTCTCTATCTATCTCTTTCTCTCTCTGTCTCTCTCTCTCTCTCTCGTTCTCTCTCTCCCCCCCTAGTGTAGCAGTGTGTGTGCTGATCCCCTCCCCTTAATTTACTTGACGTTCAAATAAAAACAAATACCTGTGACTTTTTTGTTGAAATAAGCAATTTTGCTTTCAGCCTATTTTGATGCTCCATGGGCATACAGTGCTGTACCTCATTGCTTTTAACACATTTGGCCGAGGTGTTTTTTTTTTTCAATGCAGTGATTCCTGCTTTTTTTTAAATATTTCATTCATCCCCGTTTTTTTCATTAAGTGAAATGCTGTAAGCCACAGTAAAGGAGGAAAACAACATTTTCAAAACCTCTTTTGTTGCATGCAGAGGAGTGGGAAACACATATAGCACATGATGACAGAGAATGTTGAGTAGTGTTTGATATGTAAAAAACAATTTACTTTGTATAAAATGAACCTGTTAATCAGAAAGTTCAATTCTCAAGTTATAAATTGAAGTTAAATTTTTTTGTATTGTTTTACAGACTTAAGTAAAATTAATAAAAAAAATCCAGAAAGTTCAGATATAATGAAAGCACACATTGACCTTTTTTCAGACTGAATTATGAACTTGAAGCTATGAAGCTCTGTCAGAATTCCTGCACTCTAGCAAACTTCTCTCACATTTTTGACTTTCTGTTTTTGTTAAGGGCAGATTAAGCCATGAGGCTCTGCAAATCACTTTGCCTGCGACTTGTTTATGTTGACAAATTACAAGTGAGCCGTACAAGATTAAAGTAAAAGCAGCTGCAAACTCATTTAGTTAGGATTTCCCCTGAAACACATGTGACTACTGTATCTTTATCTGTACGCGAGGTGCACATTTTGTTGTCAGCGTGTGTTGTCTGCTCGATGCCGTGCACATCACTGTCTGTGAGGAACACACATCAGTTGTCACCCACGTTTTCCTTTTTTTTTTTTCTTCTTCCTCCACGTTTGAATTTTGTGAGACTGAGGCGGGATAATGAGTGGTGAGACTTACTGTAGGGAGAATGTATACTCCTCCATCTCCTCCGCGGAGAGGTTCTGCATCTTCTGTTTGTCTGCCTGCCGTGGCGGTGCGCTGCTGCCGCTCATGCTGGGGCCGCAGCTATTTGTCTTCTTGATTGGCTTCTTCTGTGAGGAGCAGAAATCGGGGGGGTGGGGGGGGGGGGGGAACACATGCGGATGTCATTTGTAATCAAAGCAGGAAACAGGCCTCTGAATTTATCTTGGGGGATGCACACGGTGACAGTGACAGTGTGCGTGGCACTTTGGAGCCTCTCCTATATCTCAACCGCGCCTCAATTGACACGAGACAAGAACGACGGCAAAATCGCATACGGCACGCCATCATTCAAGGCGAGTTCATTTGGGGAACATGCAGTACAGTGAGAGTGGTGTTAAATATGTGATATTTGAGCAGCTGGCACTGTTTTTTCCACACAAGTCGTTTACTGTCATCGTCATAAACACAGTCAAATGGAGTTAGGAAGTAGGGTTTTAAATATTTCACCGAGGTACTTGGGAGCAGATATTATTTGTTAAGCCGCCAACATGTTAACGGCTTGCTTTCCCTGGCCCTGTCAGCCCTGCCTGTGTTGCCCTTGGGTGGGCTTAGTGCCTTCCTGCTTGAAGTTGTGAAATACTCGCTGATGTATGTTAATGAGATCCACAGTTGGAATAAGCAGCCCTTCTCTTTCTTCTGCCCCTGTCTCACTCTACCTCTCTCCATTTCATTTTCCCATCTTTTCCTCTCCTCCATTTCTCTCTCTCTCGCTCTGTTTCTCCCTCTGAGATAAACTAGGCCCAGGAAGTAGTAAATGGGCAAGGCCCCATAAAAGCTCCATCCGTTTTCACAGGGCAATCTTTGCCAAAGCAAGCTTGGATTCCAGAGTGATGATCACAATAAAACGGTGGAAAAGGAGCGGGTGAGAAAGCAGGGAGGGGAAAAAAAAAAAAAGCAGGAGATATATAAACCGCAATGTTCTCCGGTGTCTCCCAACAATAAATTTAATGCAATACCTTAAGAGCGGATTCCGTATATAGCTGGATTCCTGCCCTGTGGGCAAAGTGGTCGCCTGGAGAAAATTCATTTTAATTAGGGCTGCACTGCAGGTTGAAGGGTTGAAATCTGATCCCTAGCGCTCCCAGGCTGGGGCAGGTTGGAGATCACTCCACTTAATCATTAGACAACTGGGTTCCACACCACGACATTTGACAGAGTTAGCGAGGTTTTAAAGAAAGGGCCAAGAGGAAAAGAAAAACAGGTCTACAGAGAATGAGGAGAAATAAAACCTCATATCAACAAACTCATTTATTTAAGAGGTCATCACTGATTAATGGCAGTGTTGTACATCGGCAGAAGTAGGTAAGTTAGAAAAAAGTCTGTTTAGGGCTAGAGGAGAGGTTATGAGGGGAGGATGTGTATGTATGAAGCAGACAGAGGCTTGTTCATAAGCTTAAACTACCTCAACAATAACATCACAACAACAAAAAGCCACAGCGGAGGCACAATGGCAGGGGCGGACCGACAGGCAACAATGCTAGATCAGCACACAGAGTAATTTTACAATTACCACTTCAAAGTATGGCAGGTAACATGCAGGCTTTGATTAATTTAGCTTAAGTCCTCTGTAGCACAGGAAGAGGCGTGTTTAGAGCGGCTTGGAGGAAGAAAAAAAAAAAGGCAGGCCTGGCTGGCTTTGCTGATTTCACAGAATTTGAGCTGCTTTGGCTTGTCAAGCAGATCAAAACTGGCTTTGAAGGCTGAAAAATACCTGTTAGTGTGAAATGTATTTTGACAAATCTCAGATAATAAGCCGGGGAGGTGTGTGTAGGGGTGCAGAGAGGGGCGGGAAAGGAAGAGAAGGGGAAAGCGGAGAGGGTGCTCATTTCCAGGGTGGGAATACTTTCTCTTAAATCACAGAGTTACCTTGTAGTGAATCCCACCCTCCGCTTTCTCCCGGCATGGATCGCTCTTCTCGCCCATGTTTCCAGAAATGGCTCCCGAGGAGGAATTCTTGCCTGCATCCCAAACACAGAAGTTATGTGCAGTGAGTGTGAAAAAGAAAGAAAGGTTCATGTTTGTTTTCATTTGCAAACCACATCTGGCAATCATAATGAGGCTCAAGGGTGGTTCAGAAATATTTATATTAGAAAAAGCCAAATGATTGCGAGTGTACAGTTGTTTAAAGTACAGCTGAAATATCCAAAAAATGGTAATAATGGAAGATCAAATTCAAATTGAGAAATGCAATTTTTAAATAAAAGTCAACATAACCTTTTGTCGTTAATGCAACTTTGGAAAAAATGAAGAAAGTCTATTCTTTGCATCTCAGAATAAATTATAAATGTTGCTTTTCTTCTCCTAGGCAGGTAGTAAAGATGTTTTGGTTGTCTATCTAGAGACTTGCAGGAGCAACAAAGGCTGACTTTTTTTTTTTTTTTTTTTTGTAGTGTTAAACTAATGGAGCCCCCACTGCACAGTCATCTTTGTCTCCCACAATCTCAGAGCTGAACCTCTCCAGCCTCAATGCTGTAATGTATGCAATTAGAAATGATGAAAAATCGAAAAAGAAATTAAGTTTGGTTGTAATACATTTTCCTTTTCTTCTCTTCTTGGGAACATTACTTTTGAAGTATTTTTTCATCCTGACCCTTTTTTTCCCCTTTCCTCTCTATCTGTCTCACTCCTTTTTTTTTTGCTGTAATTTAAATGGTAAGCCGCCAGATGTGTGTCTCATGCTTGAAGAGTCGGAGATCTGCATTATTTAGCATATTAACATTCACAGAATTTAAAAAAGGGTTCCTGCATTGCCTGGAGGTTGTAATTAAGTAAACCTTAGCTTGATACATGTAAAAATCTCACTATGTGAAACTTTTTTTCTCCCCCCCGTGGAACCAGTCACATCTATATAATACATATGGAAACCTCTGCGATGATATAATTTCTCTCTTGCTGCAGGATTAAATATACCAGTAATAACTTAAATATAGGCGACACATAAGAAATCCTACCGGCAGCTAAGATTGACTTAGATGGCAGGAGGAGTCTGCTCAGTGCTATTTTTAAAAGACTCTGAAATCAGATTTCATCCTAACACAGATGTAGTTTTTAATTACCACCGCTTTGCAGGAATAAACATTTGGAGTGCCTACAGTTACAAGGTAATAAGGTTATATGCATGCTGTTTCTCGAAAAAAAAAATCCACAAATTCTACATTTTTTTCTACATTTCCATGGAATTACTTCATGCTCAACTCAGTGTCATATTGTGTGATTCCTATAATTGCACCAGTCAATTTTTCTTGTGTAAATGTTGTAAACATTACACAATGCCTAGACTTTGGGACTCCATTTATTTTTACGGTCTAAAATTCCAAAAATAAAACATAAAGCTTAAATGATTAAATGTTAAAATAATGTGAGACCTTCACCATTTTTTCAATGTCGGAGACTATTTAAAAAGAAGAAGAAGATATACTTTATTAAATTCAATTTGAACTCACCAGGACTTACCAGAACCTAAAATACAAAATATTTTTGCTAACTTTTAAAACCTCTAAAATCAACTTTTCCACTCAATTTGAGGTGCTTCATTTTAATAGTTCATCATTTATATTGAGCAAAAACAGAAAAGTACATGTGTGTTGGTGCCCACAGTGCAAAGTAGCCCTTGGCCAGACACTTTTGCACAGACACACAGATACACAAACACCTCCCAATCTATTAGCAACAACAACAGCAAGTTTGGATTTTCAGACTTGGATCACCATGGATTAGGATGCTTTTTAAACTGCACAGCCACACACACATACACACTCTACACACAAACTCATTACAGAAGGCCCTGCTTGCTAATGCACAGACGCTGTGGAACCAGAATGAGTGCGGAGGCAGCATCAACAGCTTCGACATCATCGACAGCTGAGGGCTACGTCTATGAACTCGGAGCGCTGGAGTTGCCACAACTCCAGCCTCTTCGGGCACTCAAGGCCAACAACACTACTTGTTATCCCCCCCATGCTCTGAGCTGTGTTTAGTCCACCACACACACTTATACAGTGTGTGCAATGGAGGACCATTGCACACACTGCATTGACACACCCACACACAGAAAGGCATGCAAACAAACATATTAATATGTAAACACTTGCATACATGCTAAAACATTTTCCAAGGAAGAAAAATACAAATGAGTGTACCTCACAACTGCAACACACCTCCTTTCCCTCTTGCATTCACACAAAGCAGACCAAGGAAAGAGAAAAGCCTGAGGGCCGTAACTCTGTCCAGACCCCATCACTGTGTTAGCGCTGAGATGTAACCAGGCTGCGATGGCGGTTCTTGCACACCTAGGCCCCTAATTGCCTGATGACTGGTCCAAAGGTACAGAGGGATTGAAGGTCAGTGACTCATGGATTACCCCTCAGTCCATGTTGAGATTTTTGTTAAGGTTGCTATGATACTGCAAGGACTTTGTGTCACTTTGCACAAGAGTATATATATATTCTATCTAGTACATTTGATGACAATAACAGACACACAATTCAGGCTCATGTATTCATATTTTCATTCCAACTACAGAGGAATTCAAAGTCAAATCATTGCTTTCAAATTTGTTTCATCACCACAAAACTGGGAATCCCCCTATTTTGGAGACAAGACACTGTCACCTTTGGGTGTGTTTGTCCCATATGCTTTGCATTTGTCCCCCATTTTGAAGTCCTCTAGGCTTGTTTACTACACCCACTGTGAGGGTTTGCATGTGTATACCCCACAACAGGCTTCAAAGGTTGAATGCATCCGTTTTGGAATCCGGACATTGGTGCATTAATCGCTGGGATGCATAGTGCGACTGATTGAGAGGGTATGATGTAACATTGTGGTTTGCAACACTGATGACTGGGTCCGGCCTGGAGGGGAGCACATCCCGAAAGTGCAGGGCAGCACTCCAAAGAAGACATTAGATGAGGAATCCTCGAAATCAGCATGTGTGCTCAAGGGGATGGATGTTACGATGCATTTGAAAAAAAGAAAAATACAAAAAAAAAAGGCAGAGAAAGAAAGCAGTGATACAGTTATGGCAGAATCATCTGCGTGCTTACAGTGATCCACTAAAGGCGATCATGAAACAAGACACTAATCTAATTAGTCATTTGGGTTCAAACAAACCCAATGTAACTAGATCATTCAGCTAACGTGAAAGGTCACTTAACCCAGCGAGCCTCCAGCTCATCTTTGTGTTAAAAAGCCAAATTCACTCCATTATGCTTGGACGACTCAAGCGAGGTAAATCTGAATTATGATCATCCAATTACAAGTCAATCTGAAACACAGCAAAATCGATTCCCACACAATAGCTCTCTCACAATCTTGTGGTATTTTTGGTTGATGGAAACCTGTCAGAGTTATTGTCTTGTGTGGGGTTGTGAGGTTTTTGTTCTGTAATAGACACTTCGCTGCACACCCTGATTTCTTCTACAGGGATTAATTAACTTTAGGCCTCAGGAATACAAAACTTTCTGTCCCACTGTCAGGCTCTGCTGTGTGTATGTTATCACATTGACAAGGGGTCTCCATATACTCGTCCTGTTCCTGAGACAAATGGGTAATGAGGAAAATCCTGGCGTCACATCTGGAGAGATGGTGTTCTCTGCGCGGCACACATCAGAAACAGAGAGGCATGAAATGGAAAGGAAAACCCCCAGACTTGACAGAGGACTCAGGAACAGGGCATAATTTGTTCTTCTTCCCCTCGCTGAATTGGATTTCCATTTTTGGCTGGTTTAAAGTTGTCCGTTCAATCGCTCCCTTCAACCTTGACGTAATCTCCCCCATCTGAATGCCATAATTCGCTCCAGAGGTAATGTAAAATGAACAGATCTGTATGCAAATGAGAAGAAACGTCAGGTCGGCTTAGGGTTTGGCGTGGATGAGGTGTTGTGGGGGACACCTTTTGATCCGGTAATACGGATCGGGTTCACTTCCAGAGCAACCTCCTCACCTGGCTGTGAGAATGTGTGTGCGCTGACATCCATGTGAGCCCCAGACCTGGTACCTTTTTCCTCGTGTGGAACATAAATCTCCCATAGTGAGTACCTCCCTCCCTTCTTCTCTCTCCCTTTTCTGGAAAGGCAGTCAGTTCGTTGGGGACACTTCCCTTGTGGGCGTTAGGATCTCTGTGGGGGGTCACAGGTCAGTCGGCGGAGGAAGCGACAAGCTGTGAAATGTAAAAGACCAATTTCTTCCACATGTTTCAGTGCTGGGAGAACACTGCCAAGCTGTCAGCCGGCATCACGTTTAAAATGGGCCAGGGTGCTACCCAGCAGACCTGTCACAACTCATTTGTAATTAAAAAGCCTGTGTGATGTTTAAAGCAGAGCACCCCAGAAACTTTTGAGGACTGTTAAATAAAGATGAGCTGTGCGTGCAAAAAAAAAGGAAAAAGGAAAAAAAAAGGGAGGATGTATTAATAACAAAGGAGCTAGCCAGTGCCTTTGTAGACGATCAATACCAAATGAGCCTGAACTTGATTCCTGGCAATGGCTGGGACTCCAAACTAGTGCAGTATATCACCACAAGGAAATGGATCTAAATGACTATTAACAGAAGCCATTAGGTACTCCTAAATGTGGTTACAATCATGGTATGACCTTGCCTGGACCACCAAATAAGCACGGTAACCACACTGATACTGAAAGTTAATAAGTGCATCTGACGGGCATACTTAAACTCTTTCAGAATCAACTTGGAGCTTATCCCAAAACCACTCTTAAAGAAAAGCAGGGTAACAACAGTCTATCACATGACTCAAATATGGAAACATAATCGTATTCACACCTGGAAATGTAGGTTTCTATTTAACCTGACCTGCATGTCCTGGGACTATAGGGGGGAAACCAGATCACACCGCCAGGAAAAATAGCCAGATTGCAGACGAAACATGCACATTCAACTCAGAAAGATCATTCTCTGTGTGTAGCACCACTGACCATTGAGCCAAAATGTGCCGTTTGTAGAATGATGCAGTTGTTAAATTAAGTAATTTACTGTGTTGTAGTTCCTGTAAAATTACACCAAATGATGGAAATCAAATCTGAAATTTGAGAATTTCAATGGGTTATGGGACAAAGAACTGTTTTTCAACACCTGAGGTTGCCGCTTGATTACGGATCGTAAACCAAATGAAAACAGCTGAAGGGAACGGTAAAAAAGTGAGATATCTTATGTCATGAGGTGCATATTCCTTTTGACTCCACAGCTCAGACGTCTAGTTGTTGTTTTAAAACAAATGAGGCATTCATAGGAGCAGCAGTGTTGTTCTTTTCCATGACTACAGGTGGACACTGTGGAGGCTTACAGTATCTATGGTGCGCCCGAAGGTGACAAAATACTATGCGATTAATGCAATTAAAAAACATGAATGCGTTCATTTCTGACCTTAATTAGTCATGATTAACAAGTTAATGCTGACATCCCTAATATATATGTAATGCTGAATTTAAATGTGATAAATGTTCTTAGTTTATATAAAGCTTTCTATCATTTCATCATAATGAAAGAGGTTTGTTTACTTATTGAAGTCATGGTTGTACGATCAAAAAGCTTTATCTTTTTATGTTACAACCCTATCAGCTGGCTCTATCAGTGTCATACTTGCTGCTCAAACATTTGCTTGAACCAACACTTGTGCTACAGTGTATCTGTTGGGTTTTTACATATAATCTAACTGAGAAAACATTCTTTGTTTGATGTCACTTCTGTCTGTCAAGCTCGGCCCACCCAGCCCTCCCCTCAAGCACATTCACCTCAGAGGAGAACTGCGGAATAAGTGAGGCCTGCCAGTCTTCCCGTCCCAGTGCTGGTGACATTAGGGTGGCATTTTCTCCCCACTGTGGCATAGTTGGGGGGTTTTAACATTGGACCCCTACCTGGCAAAGATGAGGAAGAGCAAGCAGAGTCAGCTGACAGGTGGAGAGGAGACCCCCGGTGAGAGTGTACCACAGCAGGCTCTCCTGCTCGGCTGCTGGGGCCCGCATGCGGCTGCTGCTGGGGATTTAACTGGGACTGGGGGTGAATGAAATGGGGACGGAGCTGGGTTTGTGACAGGGGTTGAGGCTGGGGTGGCAGTTGGCCTTGGGGTTGATCGTATTGCACCACAGGTTGATGATTAGCAGAAGGGATTGACAAAGTGATGCAGCGCTCTGGCCCCCCAGAAGGAAACCTCTTAATCTGAAAAACAAGGAACCAAAATGTAATGTGTAAGAGGTCTACATATGGGCTCAGTGAATATTATTATTACCTCTTGACGGTAATGTTATCAGCAGTTATTATGCAAAAAAATTCCATGTATTGCATCACTGTTGTTTAGGGGAAAACAGCATGTCTGTGTAATTACACTACAGGTGTAAGTGATCAAACTGCAGACATAAGCAACTATTCAGATTTAATTAAATTTAGCAAAGCATTAATAGTTTTAAATTTGTACATCCGCATGTGCTGAACAGCCGCAATAAGTGCAAAAAATGTTATCATCGCTGAGAAATCAAAGCATCTGCAATAATGATAATGCTGTAATACAAACAGCATGTCGGAGTGGAAGGGACACATAAAGACACAAACCCAAGACAGAGAGCTTTGTTCTGGCTTTTTAATTCAATTAAGATGTTTACTAATCTAATCAATGCATCAGCTCAAATGCATCCGGAATCGCTGGGTTTAGATGTGGTTCTTGTTTGCTCTCTGGGGCCAATTTCCAATCGCTCTGTTAAAGCTTTTTATCATAGAAAATACAAAAAAATCTTCGTACACAGATCCACCATCCTGCCTCCCAAATAATAGAGGCTAATAAGAGGGAGGGGGAAAGACACAAACACACAATAAATACATTTACACGCATCCATAAGTCATATCAGAAGACTATTCTAAATCTAAAATGTCTAAGAAATAGACAAGATTCTCCATAAGACACATGCATGCACATCTTTTCATAACTGCACGCGCATGCACACACCTGGAAGTACAGGTTGCACAGCCAGTGGTCTAAATCAGAGGAAATGAGGGCTTCAATTTCTTTAAACCGGTCCACTTGTCTGTTTGGTTCCCCTCTGAGCAAAGGGGTTTTAAACCTGAGACAGTGACATAAAACCAGCAACAAAACAAGCATGTATGATTTCATGAAATGTGTGAGGATTTTTCTGGCCATCGCAGCGATTAAGTGGCCTAAAAATTATTTACAATACAAACTCCTTATGTTCCAAATGCTAACTTTTTTCTTTTTAGACACACCTCCCTTGGACCTGTCCGAGGTTCAGTCCACAAACAGGAAATGCTCCCCATGCTATCACCGAGCTGACGTGGCTGCGGTGCCCTGGGAGTGCGATCAGTTGGAATACCAGGACCATGGACGGAACGACCTCACAGGCTGCAGGTAAGATCTGCAGACACATGGGAAGACACAGAAACACTTACAGTTCATCGCACATGCCTGAAGGCACACACACACTAACGTACGCACACATACACATAACTGAAGACTGCGCACATAAATGAAGCCAATGACAAACAGACACACGGAGGGTAAGACGGGACAGGAGCCCTCAGGGAGCAACTTAATCTACATCCTAGACTAAAATCCTCTTTTAACTTATTTCCATGTTCTTGAAGAGCCATCTTAACTGCCATTCATACCCGTCCAACTCAGCAAATTGCCTTAAAGGAGATGTTGAAGTGATAAAGACTGCTGGAATCAAACTGAGGGTGGAGGAGAAGGTTGGAGTCTTGTTATATTCCCTGACAGTTACTGAATTTCCGATGCATCGAGGCCTCCATAAATCACACTGATGTTATTAAGGGTATCTTCCATGGACCAAAAAGTGTTAGTGCTTAGCAGTTGATGGCAAACACATACATCCTTATTTACCCAGAGAACAGTGGGTTTGCTTAAAAAATGAACTGACAGTGAGGTGTGAGCCACTTCATCCATCATCGGGTGGAAATATTTTATTCCTTTATTAGTTGTAATGGAAAACGCAGGGGACTTGTTTTAACACATAAATCATGTGTATCCCCCTCCCACCACCCCTGATAATCTGAATTTGGTATGCACCTATGCAATGATGGGTAGTAGTGTCTGACTTCGGACACAAATTTATGGCATAATATCACGGATTATGGATATTGAAGATATTTCATATTATTCATTTACTGTAAGAAATATGACCTGCATAAATAGTAATTTGTGTGCATGCGTGTGAGGTGCCTGCTTGCACACACATGCTCCTGTTTGCATGTACAGTGAATGTATGAAGGGTCACAGTGAGACTGGATGATATACTTAAGAGGTTGTCTTATTGCCTCTGTTTTCTGAACAACAGATGGTTTATTTAAGCAAAAAGAAAAAAAAAAAAACAATTGTCCAGATAAAGATTAGGGAAATACATGACTATAATTCTGTAAGATAACTTCTAACGTTCTTTGTGAAATGACTGACTCTTTGACTCTTCCCCTTGATCATCCAAACACAAAAGAAAAGAAAAAAAGAAAAAGAAAAGTGAGTAAAAAATAGGAGGACATACATACATCTCCAAACAAACAATATACTTTCTTAAGACTTCCTCGTTATTTTCTCTTCTCCCACCCGTGAAATCAAAATGTGGAATCATCTTCCATGGTAGAAAAAGTGCACACAGACTGACTCCTCCTGACTGTTCCCTCCACAGTAAAGACGAGACGCTGAACTGCAGCGTTTTCTGTCTAAATCCAAACCCAGACACACAAAGCAATGGGTGAATGAAAAATACAGGGAGAACGAGAGAGAGGGAGGAAAGGAAAATAAGCTCCTGGCTTTCCTTTACCATCACTAATTCCTCATTTCCTCTTAGAAGGCAGTGCAAGCACTCCTGAAATCGCACGCTATAGTGTGGGCAAGAGGAGGGAGAGAAAACATCCAAGCCAATCCTGATAGTCTCAGACAAATCTGATCAGCGTTTCCACCACTGTCAATGGGGACGACAACAACAGGTTTGTCTTTCAAGTACAGCCGAGATGAGGAGGGAAGGGAGAGTGACATGAGGCATTTAGCATGCTGTACTTAAACCTTTTTTTACCTCTGAATCAGATCCCAGGTCCGCATTCAGTTAATGCCAGCTTTTACCCCGTCCTTTATGTGTGATGGGAGCTCGAGACAATATTATCAGGGTGCTCTCGCTCAGTGAATACGCCCACCAGCCCATTGACAGTGTCCACATGTGCTAAATGCTCCAGCTAAGGCCTTTAGAGTTGCCATCGGAACAGTGAAGAAGCCCTTTCTGAGCCTGCACAAAACTCTATGGGATCAGGAGGGACACTGGATTTAGTGGCTTCTGTTTTAAGGTTTCTCTTGTGAATCTTTCACACAGTGAATAAAAATAAACAGCGATGTCTAATCCACTGGTCAATCTCAAGCATCCAAAACGAGTATGTGGGTTTTTTTTAAGATTAGCACAGCTTCTATAGGGGGTGTTTGTTGCTCACATCAAGAGGTTTTGGAAAAGTGGATGTGAAAAGTGCATAGATTCCATCTAATGTAATCTGCTGTGTTGTTTTATCACGAGGATCAATTGTGGAAAAAAACACATGTACGGTCTTTAATACCGAGGGGGTTTGTATTGTTGTCACCCTTCAAAGATATTAAGGCAACTGTGCAGAACTTTTTGATACCTCTTCTTTTATTTCAAAATCCAGATCAATTATGTGAAGAAAAGATGCTTTGTGAATCACTTTATTTTATACTATGTTACCATACCAATAAAACACTTCCTTATAAATGAATTGATTGATATTGGGTTCTGTTTACTTGCATACTTTATTTATTTAAGCCCATATGGTATATTTTCACATAGCCTATACAGTCTTCTACAGCTTTATAACTTTATATAATTCTCTCAGTCTAGACATGTCTCTGTCTTCTCTGCAACCATTAAAAGCTAGAAAATCAGTGATAAGAATTTCTAAATTGTGTGGCAAGAATGCACTAAAGTACCTTCTGTCATATTAGCACATTGTTGGCTTTTATCTGAGGGGACGGTTTGCGTTAAGGAATGCATTATGCTAAACTTTCCACTGACTTTCAAATCAGAGGTTTTATCCATGTCATTGGAAGTGAGCGTGTTTTTTATTCACAGTCCCTCAGTGTCAAAACTGCTCGATGTTTTATTTCTATGTCAAGGGAAAGAAGTATTTAAAGCAGCTTTTACAAGCGTCATATCAATAAAGGGGTTGCAGTCACAATCACAACCCTATTCTGTTGCTGTTGAATAAAAACATATTAGTGTCAAAAGAGAGGAGCAACATGTGTGCATGCACCTGTGACTGTAGACCTTGGTGTATTTACTTTGTATTTGTGAGTCCCTTCAATTCTCCAACCTTTGAGGTGAATGACAATTCTTTTGAGCTAAGCAACTATTTGAAGTTCATTATCAAAATGTTTTCTTGTTCATTTCCTGTATATGTTTTTCAAAACTCTGCAGGTTTCAAAAAGATCAAAAACTATTTACTATCAAATCATTTTTTTTTCATGCATTTCTCATTTATAACAATATCATGTTCATTCATATTTCAACATATAAAACATTCAAAACTCACCACAAACAGACTCTGGTTAACATGCAGGTCTGTGTCGTAGTAACGCCCCGATGCTCCATTGGCTCAGTGGACACCGCCCATTGTTGCTGCTCTTTCTTACTGCACCAATCCAAAGCTTGACCCCCTAGACGACTGTGAAGGCCAACGCTGACAGAGTAGAGGCCCCTGGGAAGCTTGTCTCTGGTGGCCCTCAGACAACGCACACAGACCTCCACAGGCTGGGACGTGGTGCTCTGGTTCAGCTGTGAGACACATGGTGCAGATCATAAGATCAGTCAGTAAAATCATTTCAATAAAATGACTAACACGTTTCTTCATGACAGCTCATTTAAGCTGTAGTTTTACCGTTGACAGTTGAAAACTAATTGGATGCATTTTTATACAACTCACTGGAGTGAGCTTGTGAATAATAGACACAATTGTGCAGGGACCAGTAAAGTACATCTGCATCACTTGATTCCTCTTTTATTCCCACACTTACAATTACTGAGCAGGAGAACTTTGAACAAATTCTGCATGTCCCTCTAACCTAAACCTACTCAAAACACGTTTACTGACTGATGGTGTGTTCCATTAACCTGGGACTTAAGGGCTGGGAATGATGTCACACTGGAGTTAACAGTGTTTTGAGTTAACAACAAGTTGGACTAGCAACATGGACGCCTCCAGGAGTACCTTTGTTTTGTAAGCTTATACCACATGATGACTACACGCTACGTGATAGTTTGATGACAACTTGTCCACAAGTAGAACACGCACGATACGATCGGTGTGATTTATCTAATTTCACAAAAAGAGGACTACGTTGTTACTAAACACAATGGTTACAGCTTAAACGCTACTGTTGATGAACGTAGTGGACATGTTGGATTTTAAACTCGGGAGACTGAAGGTTTTCAGAGTGTCCAAGTCAGAATTCCGACTTCCGGGGGGCGCTCCTAATGACATATCAGACAAGCAACTCGGAATTTCCAACTTCCAAGATCAAATGTAACGCTCTACTGTAACGCAATACTTTCCTAATCTAAATGGAATGAGATATTGTTCTGCTTTACATTGTCTAATATCTCAATCTTTCCAGACACAAATAACTTCAGTTTTTCCACCGTTTCAGTATTTCCTCCCACTTATTTACTGTATTTAGCAAGTACAAACATGTCAGTTGAGGGAAGTTACAAATTATCACTTAACCATCTGATATACCATCACAAAGCTGTAAAAGTGATAAGTTAACCTGTCTCTAAGACAAACATGATTGTTGACAGTGTGAAGCTGACATTTTGACCACAGTTGTAAATCCTCTCAGCAGTTACGTTATCCCCTCAATTAACTCTGTTAAACACTTTGTAACTACTGTTGGAAATAATGCTTTGTAAATACAATTGAATACTTATCACATCTCCCAGTACTCACAACACCTCCTTATTGACACATAGCACACATACCTATTGGTGCAATCAGCGATCTATCTGAACCATCCTTTGCCCTTGTAAGGAAAGAGGACATCAGAACAAACTGTGTGTTTTCTTTCTGAAAGATTTCTAGATGTGACAATTAGCGTTGCAAATTCAAATGGTGTTTTTTGCACCATGTGATACCATGACACATGTTGCATGTAATTTAATAGAGGAGAGAAGTGAGAAATTCACATCTGGAGATAAGACAGCATGACTAAAGTGTGAGAAAACAGATCATCTGTCAGTCTTAGATATAACTTGGCTCTAATATTTGCACTGACAACCACTTAAAAAAATAATTTTCACCAATAGACATATTGGATGATTTCATTCCTAATTTTTGGGTGGGGACATTTCCAGGTACTTAACAATGGAGAATGTGTTGGCTGACTGTAGTCAAGCATTGGTATAAGAAAGACTTGCCCAGCACAGCTGCAGGCTTGCATCTACTGATCTCCATTCAACCATTTAGGGGTTAAGTGCATTGCTCAGGGGCACATAAGCATTCCTTGTTATCAAAGTTGAGAGTGATATTTATTTCCCCTGGCCACATTGCCCATTCAGAATAAGATTTCAAAACGCCAACCTTCTGGTAGTGAGCTCATCCCAACAACCTTCAGGCTACATCAGCCCACTTGTTGTTTATTTGCTTGTTTGTTTTCGTGACATGCGCCTCTTTTTGAGGGCTTACGATGAGTAATAGGGTAAGCTGGCTAGACTTTCGTTTTTTTATGAAACATAATCAGGGAACAATATAAATACATTTAAGTCTTTTGTCCCCTATGGCATCTGTTGAGCATCACTGAATGGAAAGTCAATCTGGCTTTAATAGAGTCAATTGGTCTTTATTACTATTAGGTTTTCAAACTTTGATAGCAGTGAAGGTTTGTCGTACATCAGATTGGACGTTTAGAATCGTTGGAAATTTTGGGTTTGCGCAGAGAAAGGAATTCCAAACTCTACTAGCATTAGATTGCAGAATTATATTTGTATTGCACATTAATTGTTCCAAGGATGCCTAGCCTGTCTTACTGTATGTGTTGCTTACCTACCCCATCTTAACCCCATCTTATCCTATCCTATCCTATTCCATCACATTCAATTGTTTTGTATTTCGTATCCTATCCTATCTTACACCTACTAATTTTAAGTGAAGGCATGTCTTTTTCTCTGACAATGTTAGTTGCATCCTATCCTGAGCTCCTGATCTATCCTTTCCCACTGTACCATATCATGCTGCAGGATCCCATCTCATGTCATCGCATCACATCCAATCGCATGTCATCAAATGTGCTATCCTATGGTTACGGTATGGTATCATATGCTATCATTTACTTTACTTTTCCTTCCTTTCCTATCCCATCCCATAGCATCCCAACTTATCCTATCCTATCCTTATCTATCCTCTCACTTTTACCATATCGAACTGTATTATTGCATCACATCGCATCAAATCGCATTTCATCGCATTGCATTGTGTCGTTTATGCTAACCTATCCTCTCATTCCTATGCCATTTTTCAGTAGCCTATCATGTTGAAACATTATGTAAAGATTGTATGGTATCATATTGTATTCCATTGTATTCTATCCTATCCCATACCATACCATGCCACCTCATCCCATCCAATCCTATATTACCTTACCCATGCCATCCCATACCTTCCTCCTATGCTATTCTATCCTATCCCATCCCATCCTATCCTATCCCATCCCATTGTGTTTTCCCTCGGGCAAATTTTGAGTGTCTGGCAATTAAAGCCCTCCATCCAATCAATGACATATTAGCACTCACAGGCTACATGTGCACAACCATACACTGTATCCACTATCTGTTTTACAGTATACTGTGCAAAGTGTTGTCACCAAACACAATTGGACTATTCCTGCTCCTCTTACAGACATACATCACATAATCATTCAACTAGCAGCGGCTGTTGGTGCCCACTGCTCTGCCAGACTGTGAGGGGGGAAGGTGTGTGCTGAGCCCTGCAGTAATGCCCCTCAATCTCCCCACTGTGAGCATCTTTGCATACCAAAACAACAAAAACAATTTAGGCAGAAGTGAAATTAGTATAATTGGTGGCAAAGCGGTTTAGCCCACACATCACACATTTGGGAGGAGGTGATCGAGGCCTCCAAACCCCCACTTTGGAAAGAGATGTATACATGCAGTCTGGAAAGGAAGAGGAGGAGGAGAAAGGATAAAAAAAAGGGGCACAGAAACAAAAAAAAACAATAACATCACATTGGTGTCCAATTTGCACAATGTGTATTTTTAAGTGGTATTGTATTATCTGGCCCACATGCATGCACAGGTGTTGTAACAGACAGTCAAGACAGCAAGGTGATGGTAAAAGGTGGAGTGAGCCAATTTTCCATATCAGAGGTGGTTTGTTTGCCCCAAGCCTGAGTTGTGCCTAAAGTGCCATAACATTACAGCACTCCTACAGATGAGATCAAAGGCTCTAGCGAGGGATCTTCCTCCGTTTTGCTGGCAAGCATCCGTCCTTTTGCAGAAATATCTTTTCAAGGCTTTCCACGTATTGACTGATCACACAAAATGCACTCTTAATAGAGACAGGAAATGCCACATACAAAAACTTCCTTTCTTTCTAAGTATGGGCTAATATTCAGAGATTAAGCTTTCTCGTTAATTATTTTCATTTTAATTAGTAAATCTTAATTAACAATGAACATTTACCCTTAAAATTTTTTGGCTTCGGAATGAAGGAGGGGGGTGAAGAAAGCAGAGAATAAATATGACAATCTTTTTGGGACCTCCGGGCAGGATTACTGATGCAGGCTGCCTTAGTTATTAAACACGTTCTAAATTAAATGCCTCCATGAATTTTGCACAGAAATATATTTTCATAGTTTTGCATGCCAAATGTGACATTTTATATTTCAGATTCATCTCGCTGCAGTAATTTTAGGGAAATGTCATATAAACAAAGATTTTGTCATTTACCAAAGGAAATTACTATGCGTGGCAGGTTTGGCCATTGCTTTCTCTCTCTCTCTCTCTTTCTCTTTTTTCCCTCTCCCTTTTTTGCCCCCTATTCTGCCTGTGCCGGTTGTTTCAAGTCAGCAAGCCATAAAAAATCTTTATCTCAGTGAAACACAGCAATTTGGGAGATAATCGAATGGTGACTGGGGGGCACAAACGCCAGTCTGAGGAATTATACCACAATCTCCCCTGCATTTACAACCTTCCTCAAAGCCAGTTGTCACCCTGGAAGGAAAGCCCCCGACTGAAGATTCATTACATCTTTAAGCCAGCATGGTGGCATGGCAGCCTCATCCCCAGATGCAACACAACAGCACACTCCTCCCACAGCTGGTGATGCTACCGCTAAAGCTGCAGCTTCCTTCTCCTTTTCCCACTTGGTTCCCTTTTCTCTCCTCTTCCTATGTTCATCTTTTTTCATCTCCAAAGACTCCCTTTTCCCTCCTACTTAGATTCCTAAAACCACAGACAGCATCCACACAAAGCAGGGAGAAGGTTCTTTTTATACTGTACAAAAATAATGTGGCAGGATACTTATAATTCTGTATATGGAAGCCTTCTTTCTATAGTGCCTTTGATTGAATGTGTGTGCCTTTTGTCGACATGTGCACATACAGTCCCCATTGGTGTAAAGAAAGGAGTAAAGGAATTTGAAACTAGAAAATAAGGGATATGATTTTGCCTTTCTCCAACAGGTCCCATTCATCACAGGATTGCACATAATTACATCATTTCACTGTTTTGAACAAACAACCCTGCCTATTTGATGATTTGTAAACACTTTGGGATCAATATCTTCACAGAGATTAAGAGGAGAGTCACTTCCTGTTTGTGTACTTTCTGTTTCATTAAAAATGTGTGAGTCTTACTCTTCACTCACAGTGTGTAACAGATCCTACCTGCCACAGGGGCCGTGATGCTGAGGAGGAGGACTCTTGGAGCTCTGTCATCTGCCCGTATTTGGCTATCGCTTCCTCTTGGCCTTCCCCCAGCGCTCTGAGTGACGGGCTTTCAATGGTTTGGCTGCTACAAGAGCAAACACACACACATACAAGTCACGCAGACACATGAAGTTAACCCTGTTTACAGCCACCTGCATTTTGGACTCTTTGTTGTTCTGTAGCCAACAGCAGCTCAATCTAATAACAGCACAACAAAACACTTTCCACCGGGGTCCCTCTCTCTCTTTCTTTCTCTCTCTTTGCCTTTCTAGGCCTTTCAATCTTATCAGTGGTAATGTAATAAGCGGTTGCTTCGCTCTGTCTCCTCGCCACCTCTCTTAATTCCTCAAAATAAAGCAATATCACAGGGGCCCTGGCCTGCCTGTGACTGGGGATAAGATGCTTGTAAAAGGGAGGATAATTCAGCAAATAAATGCTCGGCATCAAAGGCAAGCACTGGGTCTTTCTTCCCATTCTCTCCCTTTTCCCTCCTCTCTGTTCGCCTATCAAAAGTATTACATGTGCTTTCATCAGTTCACAACAAGGCACAATGTGCTTCCTAATGCAATTACTCGACCTCCATTAAATCAGAAACAGTGGAAACAAATGAATTACACATTTGTTACAAAAACCACAAGTCAGCTCCGCGTCTCTCCTCCTTATTTTTTTTTTTCTTTTATAGGCGCAGGGAGAGAAAAAGTGAAATCATTTCTCATTAAATTTCAGGCAGATGTAGCCCTAGGTGATGCATAGAAAGTCTCCCATGTCTAATAGCCACCCACCATTGATATCAGAAGGAATTTACAGAGTTCAAGGCTGTCGAGAGGAGGTCAGCTTGCTAAACTCCGAACCACATTCATCTGACAGAGCTGGTGTCCGACAACCACCCACCCATAAAACAACCAAACACAACAGAAGAGGCTTATGTGTGAAGTAGTGTCTTGATTTTATCATGTCAGCCGGTATGGTAGCCCATAATTACTAAAAACTTAAACATGCTAAGCTGACTGCCCGCGGGGCTCTCCCTACCAGATTTGATGTGTGATCTCTGACTAAAGTGGATGGACCAAGAATTGATGCGCCTCCGAGCCCAATGACATGGACAGATTTCTGTGCCCTGCAGCCATACTACCCACAATGCCATGCCCGTCGACAGGAGAAGCCAAGCAGAGGACATATGAATTACATGCCATATCGGATGTCACTGAGACTACAAATGCTTTTTTACACAATTAATGATTACAGTCGTATGACATCAATTTTACATACGGAGAGAAATCTGAAATGGGCTGGACTTACTGAAGCAGATTGTTCAGCCTGGGCTGTGGAGCCCCCACGTCACAGTCTCGTCCTGAATGAGGCTCCTATGAAATAATAGAGAGGAAATGTTAACAAACACTGTTAAGATGTTAACGGTCATCAACAATTTAACTTCTTATTTTTTTGATCGCATGTAAGAAATTCCATTATTTCACTTTTTCTTTTTTTTTCTTTTTTTTTTTAAATGTTCAAGCTTTTATTTAGATTTTTGTTCATATTTACACTGAAAGTGTGCTTCCTGTTTAAGGTACTATGAAGGTAGATTGAAGGTTATGACATTAGCTTAACCACGGAGAGAATAAATCATTACAGATGGAAAAGTAAATAAAAACAGCTAAAGAGGACGATAGAAAAGTGGACTATTTGATGTGACGGTTTGCTGAAGTGAAATGAGACATTCAAAGGGGCAGCAGGGTCATACTTTTCAATCACTGTGACTATAATAAAATAGCATGCGATTGATGCGATAAGAAAATGAATGCATAAATCTCTGACCTTAATTGGTCGCGATAATTCTCTGAAATGATTTCTCTCAGGGAATTGCTTTAAAAATGAACTTTTAGAAACTTTTTGTTGTACAAATAAGTAATAAGACAGATAATGATCGGATGAAACTATAAACAGCACACAGCTTCAAAACATGTTTCACTGCAACTCAAAAAGCAATACATCCTTCATTCACTTTACATACTGTACAGGTCTTTACCTTTACATTCCCAGTTAAGAAGTGCATTAGCCTCTTCTTCCTCTTTGCCCACTCACTCCTCTTCAGGGGTCCCTGCTGAGCCGCGTGCTGAAATGTGTAAACACACTTGCACACTTTCTTTGGATGCAGCTTTGTGAAACAGTGCAGTGCACCATAATGGCAGAATTAAGCACAAGGAGCAACTGTAATGCAATCTGCAGGCAATCGATACTGAGCCAGGCCCTAAAGACATGTAGCGTTTGATGAGTATTTCTGCCGGTTTTACATTCAGTCAGCACATTCACACTCCCCATTCAGACGCATTGACACTGCTAAGTGACAGCGTCTCGCCCTGTAGAGGCTTTGTACAGCAGAATAGAGAAAGAAGAAAAACGCTATTATTTTTAAAATAGATGTGAAATCTCTGGTGGATAATGTGCTTTCAATGGGAGGTGGGTGTGGAAACAGTAGGAGAGCGCATACATATTATAGCAGAATAAGATAACACTGATCCCAATACTGATACAGTACACAGTTGATTCCACTGATTATGGAGTAAGGCAGGATGAGTCAACTGTTGCTGTCGCTTCCAAGTCATGTTAAGACATTGTTGAGCCTTTTTTTCCCCTATTACACTGACTTTCTATTCACATAATTTGACTTGTAGTCTCTTTTCAAGTGAGATTAGAACTAAAAATACAGTGGATAGAAGTTCTGTATTCTGTTTGTATATGTTCGCGTTTCTTTGCAGTCTCGATTTGCATACACAAAAGAAACCCCATGTTCTTGCAGTCTCTCGTCGCTTTTCTAATTTATGGAGCACAAACATTTGTTCTGAAAGAAGCTTTAGATCTTAACGCTAGTTCACAATCTCCCTGCTCCCTAGTTGGAAAATAAAAAGGTGGTCACGCTCTATTTTTTTTCCTGAAAAGACCTTAAGACGGGTAAAGAACCAAAAAAACGTAGCTTCTGTCAGGAACAAATATGCATAATAATGCACGGCAAAGTTCAAAGACACAGCAAAACTGTCTCCGCAAATACGTTATTGTGTGAGGATATCATATGAAGCATAGATTATGCAGTTCAAATTCATGTTCTTATTCTGGGCCATGGATGAATGAGTTATCTAACCTTGAATGCATGTTCTACAAAAAGCAATTTCTCATGACTGCGTTCAGCCGAGATTCAAACATTCTTCACGAAACGTTAAATGCAGAACTTTTATAAAAGGTAGCTTAGGAGCAAGGGTGGGGACAAAAAAGTGGAGCAAACAAGCGAATGTGGAAAGAAGAGGGGATAAGATGTGTTTAGTACACACATGCACACATAGGGATGTGAACGGACAAAACAGACAGACGTACACGCACACATGCACACACTCTATGTCCATTAGCCTAAGCCACAGCATAATGGACATGGCTGATGTGCTGGTGAATATGGGATGATGACACAGATATTCCTCTTTGTAGACCTGACCTGCTGCAGTGAAAGGCTGCCAAGCGTGATCATGTCAGGCCGCACGCGCTCCCTCAGCTGCTGGGCGTAGCGGGGGATCGCCTCCTTAGCTGTCCTCACTGCAAGAAATAATACAGTTGAGCACAAATCATATCGTTTTATATGACCAAATATGTTTTTATTATTATATATTAATTCTTGTGTGCGTGTCCTATCACCTATAATATGTGGGATTCAATATTTTCTAGATACATATAAAGATGTAATTCAAGTCTGCAACTTCTCAAATAATGATTCTTTTTTTTTACAGGATGATTCAGATTTTTTTTTTCGACATAAAATAAAAATTGAGCCAATGCATGAGCTTCTTCTGGTTCCTGAAAGCTTTTAAATCATGTTAGTGCAGAGGTACAATTTAGAAATGTCATAATAATAATGTTATAATACACAATGTATCATATTGCCTCTCCACATGTAAAAAATAATTCTATAAACAAAGTCAAAAGCATAGCATTACTTTTTACAGTGCTCTCTCTGCCCATTACCATCCTCCCTGCTTCGAGTCCAGCCTCTCCTCCCAGCCCAGCACCGGCCCCAGCCTGGGTTTTGGCAATGGTGTGGGCCTGGGAGGGCCGGGAGCCCGAGGCATCACCACCGCTGTGGAGCAGCAGTCGCCGCTGAAGCACCGGATCACCCGCCTTCACCTCCAACACCTCCTCATCCCTGGAGGCTAGCAGCGTACCTGGAGAGATATGCATCAGTGGGCATGCACAGGCACAGGCGCACACACACACACACACACACACACACACACACACACACACACACACACATGGATGCACATTCTTACTATGAAGAAACGCATACATGTATACAAAGATTTATTTGCAGGTGGACAATGATACACTCATTGTAATCATTCACAAAACATATTATTCTATCCACAGTTACTCTTTCAGCCTATTTTGTTCCTAGAATACTGATATTGTCAAATCATGTTTACTTATACCCTTAGTTCTTAATAGGAATCAAAAAGGACTGATTATCACACAACCTTTTTCAACCCAATTTGCTCACAGTGTGTATATATATATATATATATATATTATACAGTGTATGTATATTCAAGCTACAGAAATATCCCAACACTTCCCTTTTAGTCATTAGAAAGGCAAAAGGCATGACGTTTTAAAATAATGTAAATAGAAGAGTTTTTCAACTTTAGAAAAAATTCAAATGATGTGCAAAATGTCGAGCTGACCAGAACTGATATGTCATCTTTTTCCATGCAAGAAAATAAAAGCAAGATATTATGTCTTTCTTTAGTGTTTTTAAATGTCTGTGGCTTTACGATATCTGCATGTGCATTGTTGTGTTTTTACTCACATCATACACAAGGAATTGTAAATAGCACCACATTTTTCTCCTATATGTGAACTGGTTTCTTTTTCTTTTTTTTTTAAAGCAAAGACACATCATGTGCAGCAGCTAACCTGCTTGCTGTGTGTCTTTTCTGCATCGCCTCATTGGTAGAAAGCACGAGGTATTCTTTGAGCATCTGTGTTTTTCAACGTGTGCAGTCCAACATGTACAACAGCCAAAGCTGTTATCGCTGCCTAATGCTTTTCACATAGACGCTCATATCAATGCCTAACGCCTCACTGAGAACTAGAATGTATAGAATGCCAGTTTCTATTTCTTTCAACTCCGAGCCAAAGCAAACAAATTTATCGAGATAAAAAGGGAAGTGAAGATCTTAGACAGAGAAATAGGGATTTCTCCAGGAATGTTTTCTGAGTAAAAAATGTCTACAGCATTGGCCACTGTCCATTTCATTAATACTTTGTCTCATTCTCTTTCTTGTGAAGTGTGTATGGGGCTTTGTGGCAGGTTGTAAAAGCCCAGACAAAAGCCTGAGAAGCAGTCACAAAATGTCAGGATCCACTGTGACATACCCTGAGCCGGTTCTGCAGCTGCAAAGAAGACTTGCGGCATACACCGGTGGGAGGCATTCGCACAACAGCATAAGGTGATTGTCTTGAAGTCTATTGTAGCCTGGTGAAGTGCTTACTGGCAGTCGACGCAGTTGGACACCATCAGTACACAAGTACGAGCTCTCTCTCTCTCCTCCTCTCTCTCTTTCCTTCCTTGTGTCTCAGCCTATTGCATGGAGGAACTGCTAATCCAAGATCCTCTTTACTTCTTCTGTAGGATTTCATGAACATTCCAAGACAATGGATGGGGCTGCTAATCTCGGTGGTACAGCTAAATCCGAGACAATGGCAAATAATACAAGCCGGGAAAATTCTACCGTGTTGAAGCGGGCCTAAACCCATCACTTGTGCGCTGGAATTACAAGGGAGTGTGCGTCATGTCAACAGGATCTGGTGCGACTGTCTTCAGCCAGAACAATGCTGAGCTTAAAGCACCTCAATGCTGCCTGGTTGGCTACATATTTAAATGAAACTGAGCTAATGAGAAAAGGCACGCCTACTGTGAGACAATGGCTGTGCTTGGAAAGCAGTGACTACTAGTGAGGGTCTGTTTCTTGTCTTATTCTTTGTTCTGTGTAAGTGCTGCTCTTAGTGCTGGTGGAAAATGCAGGGTCTTATATTTGTCTGGGTGTTTTATGATTCCACAAAGCTTTTCTTAAAGCTACAGTACCAAAAAGTGCCAGACCAGTAAACAACATAAAAATACTGTGTTCACAAGAATGTTGTTGGAATGTTAAAAGTTTCTATTGATAATTTAGTATGAATATTTATAAAATAATTGATTTGTATTTTTTTTCTTTTTTTTCAATTGATATAATTTTTAATCTCCAAGGGTAAAATCTGGTTTACACTTTGTTATTGAGAGACATGCTACTGACAAACAAACAGGACCTGTGGACATGCATTAATGGAGAGATGTCAGAGTGGGACTGCTAGACAGGGAGCACACCAGAGCTGTTAGGGGTTCGATGCCTTGCTCAAGGGCACCTAGGCAGTACGCAAAGTGACCTGGCACCTCTCCGGGTACCAGACTAACTTCTATACTAAGAGACTTGAACCGGCAACCCTCCAATTTCCAAACCGGGTCCCTACAGACGGAATCTACTGAAGCCATATTTAAGTTGTTCTTAAGTTTTAATACAGACTGAACACAATAGAGCTTAACACCATCATTCTGAGAATGTTATGTTTAATTAGAAATGTTTTCTTAGTCTATGAACATTTATTATCGCGAAAGAAAATATGATCAGTACATGACAGCTGTAAAGTAGTTAAATGAACATTACATGTCCCAAATTGTAATTCTTAAGGATTTTAATTTAAAGCTCTGAAAATGTTTATCTTTCTATTTTGATATTGGCCAACACACCTACTGCTTTCATATAATACTACCCAGGAGTAAAGAATATTGAGTTACATACCGGGTATATTTATGAAGGTATCATCCTCATCCAGCAGTGCAGCCATTCTTTGATACAGCCGGTTTTCATCAGCATCCAACATTGCTAAACAAGTCCAAACAATTATAAAATGAGTACACCTTGAACGGTGCTGAAGAATTACAGGCATTCTGCGTGCTTCAAAATTACTTTCCACTTATCAAAAAAGTCAATCTAAACCACATCTTCACGTGCACATCAGAGATATTAGCTGTGGCTGCAGAGGCCTGAAAATCAAATGTATGCAGAGGGGTAATGAAAAAGGAGCATTAACATGCCTGTTAGCCGGCCTGTCATCATGTGATGAGATTTGGTTTGGTGAATCCTTTGATATTACACGGCAGTGATATCCAAAAGATACAGGTGAAATGGCTTCTCCATTAATAACCATGTTTCATTATAACATGCATATTACTTGGCTCCCCAGAGCTTGCTTTTAATAGGCCTACTTTTAGAGGGGGCTGCAAACTATTGATGTGACTCTGCGTTTGTCATTTGACAGGGGAAAGAAAACGCCACAGTGGAATGAAAACTGACCAATGATACGTGACCTTCGTCAATGACAGTGAGTTGGATGGCCAATCTAGTGATGCCATCATTTAGTGTATTTACATAGACTGTCCTGCCGTCACAAATGGCGGCCTGCCACCAGTGACCTCACTTTAATGAACCGAGGAGAACCATTATGACAGAGAATGGCATACTTAATTCAAGCTCATCTTCGGCGCTGACCCCAGTCATCCTGTGATGCCTTGGGTCCGTCTGCTCTGCCGACAACGGGTCAAAGTAATTTTGAGTGTGATTATTTCCTGTCGAAAGTGCGAGAGGCGAGAGAATGAGGGAAAGAGACATTAGGAGTTGGCAAGGGGGATGGCGGGGAAGGGAAGAGGGGAGTTGTACAGGTTCAGGTTAGTGGTTATTAGAAGCACATGAAGCGAAATGTTAATTTTTGAAACCCACACTGTGGAAGGGCAGGGGCAGCGGCTGCTACCAGATAAGGCAGAGCCAAGATGAGACAGGGGTACAGAGGCAGAAAGAGTGAAGTGGGAAAGAGACTGCTGGCTTTCTCAGTGTGCTTCTCCACGGCCTGCGGTGCTCTGGGGCCTAATTAGCATGCCGCGAAAGGTCATGGCAGGCAATCTCTTAAATACGACTGCCATATGTTTGCTGTGTTCAAAAGGAACTAATGAGAAAGTCTACAAGCCCAAAAGTACCTGGAATTTCAAAGACAATACCTTATAAATACTCCGAGGTCAGCGGCCTAGAGGACCGGGCAAGTTTTGAGGAGTAGATCCAAAGGAAAATAACCTGAGCCCATGTCTCATTGACTTCTTATTAGCAATCACTGACCTATGGGTATCAAGTCTGCTCCACAGAGTTTATGGGAATCCAATGGCTCCAGGGCCTTTCTATTAAGGGTACACCCCACCACGCCGCTTTCTTAACCTCAAATCATTCTCATTACAGGCCTTGAATATTTCACTCCAATCTAAATTGCTTTAGTTGTATTTCTCGGGTTGTGGGCTGAAAAATACATGCTATATTAAATGATGTAATATATTTTACACAAGGATTATCTTTGTAGAAGTTCGAGGTTATCACTGCTTGGCCGAATTAGAATTTGAGTAAGTGTGTTTGCATTTGAGCACCAGTGGTAGTGTCGGCCACAACCAGAAAACACTCACTGTGATTATTTCCTTGTCATATAAAAAAATCAGACGTTTTCAAACTCAATGAACGAGTCAGGCTGAAACACTTATTAAACAAGCAGCAGCCGGTTGATTCCTCAATTGTGGCCATAAATTGACTGTGAAATTCACATGCTAACTCCCCCTTATATCATTAACAGAGGGTTTGAACATTTCTTTGCAAATAACTCTGGGGTTATGAAACCCTTTTTTCAAACACACATTTGCATAATGGTAGACACTCTTTGAGTCATATCTGTGATTTACCTAAATAGTCTGACAGTCCTCCAGTTCATGTCTCTCTAATGAAAGTTTCAATCCTCTGTTCCTACTACACACACGATATCAGTAACTACCACTTCTGTCCATTCAGAGATTCTGATATAGAAAAAGAAGAAATAGAAGAGTCACAAAGTTCCAATCTACCTGGGAGATCTTTCAATGAACACACTTCCTTATTTTAACATGTTGGTTATACTTCATGCTTGGATTAGCAGATTATTTAAACAACATATTCAGTGCAGTTACCACAAAGAAAATAATGAATAACCTATAAACACCTAGCATGAGATATGTTTCCAATATTCCTTTTGAGACTTGACTGTGTTCAAAATGTGAACATGGACGTACAGTAGCACAGGCATGTTAAAGGAAAAGCCCACTCAAAGTAACTTTGTTGATGCAGAAGTTTTTACATGCTGCTTAGCAGTTCAGTATCAATAAACTACCCTATGGTTAAGTTCATTCTGTATGCTTTAAGGGTATGGCATGTGGCCTAATTAGCATTTTCAATTAATAGAGGAGAAAAAAGAACAAAGTTAAATCTCAAAGTGAACTCGTCTCTGTTCTTCAACATGCCATCATATGTGGGGAAAAAAAATAAGCTTTTTATATTGTTAAACTAAATGAAAATCCCCTCCAACAAAGTAACGTTGTAAGAAACAGTTTATAGTAAGACGTGTTAACTTAACTTTTTTAAACAACAATCTTTTATGAATTGGATTTTTGCTCAGAAGGATAATTTATAGTGGCTTCAGTGTGTAAAATGATGGGATGTCATGATTGTCTCCTTCATCTTTTGTTTCTTTGTGTTTTATGTTTTTAAAGAATAAGAAGCTTTAAGAATAAAGCACTGAAATTGTTATCCATCAAATTGTTTTACACATTTTTATATAATTCTTTTAACATGTTATCTGATTTAAGACAACATTGTGATACCTTTCAACTCAACTTCATATGCAGGTTAAATCTAATTCTTTATATTTTGAAATGACTACTGAGTCCCTGTAATGATTTAATCATATTAAAGCCAAGCATATTTTCCCTGCAGTTGATTTACTATTCCAGAGGGTTTTTTTTCATACATGTCTTCCTAAAGAGAGGAAACTTCATGGTATTGGTTGTAGATCTCTGACATGATCAAGAAAAAAAAGGGAACAAACAGCAACAGATGACTGAGGTCAATTTTTTGCCATTTGAGTTTAGGACAGCAAACCCGTCTTCATTGTTTTTCACATGAATAAAGTGATATGTCTGTAAAAGAAATCAAAAAAGGTGAAGACTTGTGCAACTGTTGATTCCCTGACAACACATTTTAAAAGGACTGTCATCTTAAGCCGATGGGTTTTATTTTATTAATAACTTCAGATTTAGTCGCAAATGTTTATGGTCTGACTTTAATGAATGTATATTTTATTTATATGCCGGCCAGTTCCCCACACAATGGTGAAGCCTAATCCCTCGTTCTTAAAACATCATGACAATAATTGATAATAATTACAAGCCAGCACAGCAATAGCAAAATAAACCACATTAAATCAAGAATCTAACATGTGACTCATCCCTGAGAAAACTGGCACGCTCGCAACCTTGAACGCATCCTAATTTACCATCCCATTCCTCAAGAGTTCTCCCTGACATACTGAATTATAAGGGGGCATATTCGTATGCCTGATTGGCCTTAAGCCGTGTTTCGGGGGCGTAGCGAGTACACCACACAGACAGCGGATCGGCTTGGTAGCGTAGTAGCGTATGTAAATGCACTCTCCTATGACTCCAGCCCACCACAAGGCATGTAGCCGAGAGTGGGAGTCAAGGCTGATTGTGTCGAGGGTACTTCTAGATAGAGATAGAACACCCACAACTAGAGCGTTCTCCAGCGGAGGAAGAAGTTATACGAGGGTTGCTTGTTAGGACACGCTTGCTTTGGAATGCAGGGACCAGGGGCCCCTCGAACGAGAAGAGAGAAAAATGAAGAGGGAGTGAGAGAAAGGTTAGATCAGGAACACATCTACTGTCAACAAATTTGAGGCTAATGAAAAATGAAGCTTCACCTCTTTCTTTGGCAGGGGCTTGCAGCTCCATTTTTTTTGGGTGAGCTGCAAGGGTGCTATCTGGCCTGTCACCTCGAATTTCTCTCCCCAGCCAAAGCGAAGAAACGGAAAGCTCCGCGCTTCCTCCTCCATCGAAGGCTGGGTTGTCTATGCCCACCACAGCCGTTCTCTCCTCTCCCCCTGACAAGAATAAGCAGAAACATAAATAAAAATAAAAACACTGGCATGAAGGGGTGATACAACAGTTAGGTCAAAGTGAATCATCAAAAATCCAAGCGTATCTAATGACTACAAATTTTTCCTGTTGGTGATTTTTCTGCACCAACATGTTCAAGCGCATCCTCCTCGAATGACACTAAAACACAATTAGGTTAAAATTAAATCAGAATCTTGCAAAGGAGGAGAGAAAAAAAAAAACGAGAAGAAGAAGAAATGATTAAAATAATTACAAATTGCGCCCTGACAAGCAAGAGCAAAATTTAGCCCAAAGCCATTTGTCTGTAATTAGTTAATTAATCCTTACACAAATTATGAGCAATAACTCATCAAGCAGGACTCACCCATCAGAAATTCAGCCGACTTGGATTTCTTCTGCTTAGGTTGCTGCAGAGCCTTCTGCTGTAACTTCTGGAGGGAAATTGTTAAATGAATAAATTAGCTGCAGAATGAAGATCATCATTTATGATCCGCAACTAACGCAGTATTTTAAATATGGGACGACACTAAAATGTCATTTAATTTACATCGCCGCTAAAGGGGTCAAGCACTAATTGAACAACAGGAGTGGAAAAGAATTTAATCATAAATAGATAAGAAAAGTTGACATGAATGTGTAATGAAGGTCACATTAAAATATTTCCTCCTTGTTTCTAAAATGAATGGGCAACAACACTCGCTCCTGGAAAATTCTGCATTTTTTACACACAGGCTGCATGGCAGACTCGGTGTGCAAATAAGTATGGAAATCTAGGCACACTTCCCATTACTTCCATTTACATGAACTCAACCTAGAAAATCTCAACAGGGGAGAGAGAAAAGCGATCTCTAAGTAACATCATGCCAGGTCTGGTGTAATTTGTAAAGCCTGGAGAAACCTTAAAAACAAATACGTTTGAATGTTATATTCATACTAAACAAATTATTGATATAAACAAAGTGCTTTAAATGTGGTTCCATCTATCCCACTACATACCTAATAACACTGTTGTGTCTTTAGGGTTGTAGGTGGTCTACATTGGCATGACATGGTAAAGAAGAACGAGGAATGTTTTCAAGTAAGAATGGGCTTCTTTGAAATCAACAGCATGTGGAACAAAGTCAGCAGTCCCACATTTCTCTCATTTCTGCAGACAATCAGAACAATAAGAGCGTCGAGGTAAAAGGCAGAAGTAGTTGTTTTGGTTATGGATATGTTTACATAAGAATGCACCATAAAAGAGCTCTGTAGCTCAGAGCGTATGGAGCATCATTTTATGCAGATTTCAATGATGAACTGTGCTCATGTCTATGAACAGCATGTATTTGTATACAATATTTAATTTCAAAGGGGAAAATCAAGGGGCAGACGAGTGGGGGGCTTATTTCGACTCTAAATGACAGAGCAATTAAAATGGAGAAGGACTACTTCCAGACCAATCTGGTAAGAGGAGTTTTTGTAAATCTGTTTTTACATTCAACAAGCCCTACAGCAAGACATTCATTTATACCACTGAGATTAATGCTTATCTAATTGTAACTTATTTAAAAACCATTTTCTTTTCGACTGGGTACCAATCAGTTTTTCTGAGTTTCACATGCTGTGGAGTATGTGACGGGCAAATATAGCTTCAGTGCTGATTGTCTCCCAGAGTTTTCTTGTGTTTCCTTATTTCTATTTCATCAGCCACCATACAGATTATTTATTTGTGCAACACTTGGATTGTTTTGATGCAAATGCAAACTCAGAATATCCCACTGAGACCAGTATGGGAAATCAATCAGTTCATTTTGCTGCAAAAAAAATTAAGCAATCTGTATTTAGTTTTTGTTTGCAATGTACCCCTAATCAAATAAAGAACCTTTTTGATCATCACTGTAACGCCAATACTGAAAACCTTAATGAGTACATTTTAAATAATATATCTAGTTAAGATCTGAACATTTTTCTTTGGACAATACATGTGAAGGTTATTGTTCAAAATTGTGTATTTTTGCATGATCAAATTAAGTTTCAACCCCTTTTAACAAATTCTCCTCTGGGTTTGAGGCAAAGAGATTTGCAAAAATCAAAGTAAAATTCCTATTTAGGGGTTTTCTGTTATATGAATGCATTGTGATTATCTCACTCATTTCTGCACAAAATATTGTCGATTATCTTTCCCACTGCAATGGCTGAATATATAAGAAGATTTGTGTCATTTAAAATGTGTAATAGTCCTTTAATTCTGTTGCTTCTGCCATGTACATACAGTATACTTGTTCTACTTTTGTTTTGGACCAGATAATGCCTGTGTTACTGAATATATTGCATAACTCCATGCCCTGCAAATGTCAATAAGTCCTCTGATTACTATGAATATATTCTGGCCTTTAGATTTGATACAGTGGTGGGGGGTAGTGGGGTAAACGCAACAGGGAGAGTACACAAAATGACTACAGGACATACACCTAAGGCCTAAAAGCTTTGGGTCATTGTCAGAATAATCTAATCCACACAGGCTGTGGGTGTCTCTGTCTAGAAAGCTAAGAAAAATGCCTGGTTCTCATCTCCCTCTGTGGACCCCAATGACGCAGCATGCTCCTTGGGATACCAACACTGTTGCTTAATGTGCATGGAGCGTGTATTTTGCATTCCTTAAAGGATAAGCAACTCAATCCTAGGGGGGAGAAAATCATTAAAAGTTCATGACATAAGCTGGAGTTCATATCCTTTTGCCTGTCACATTGCACCTAAATATGTTGGATTCATGGTGCTGCACCAAAATCTCATGCCAAGAAATTTGGGTGGATTACAACATACATATACAGCAGCACAAAGCAATACCCCCTGAGTTCATTCTGTTGTCATCTAAAGGCATTTACATGCACTTAATCTGCCCCCCTTCCCTCATCTTAAAGTGCAGCGCACAAACTGCTTACGTTGCAGTCGACATGAGAAAAACATCATCTATAACTGGTGACAAATAAACATCCAACATTTTTTTCCCCTTCCTTTCTTTTTTTTAAAACGTGATTGTTGTCAAAAGGAATTGAGCACAACAATGCCTTGTTCAGTTCTTGTTGCATTCAAAGGCATAGCTAGAAGGGCTTGGGGAAGACCGCTTGCTGCTAGGGGCTGGTGGGCACAGACCAGCTAGAAAGTGAATTTTGCATACTGTACGGATCATCGCCCAGTTCAGCCCAGTCACATTGAATCTGCCATCAACCAATTGTGCTTCATGAAACCGTCAACCCTCATTTACGTCTGCCTGTTTTCTTCCCCACGCAGCTGTAAACAAGGGCCCGGCTCTGAGCTGTCTGCCTCTGTCCCCGCGCACGCTGCTTGCCAGGGGAACGGAGACAGCTCGAGCTCGTCTTCACAGAGATGCTGAAAGCTTCCATTTCAAGACAAGCACCTTCTGTGTAAGGCAGGGGAGACAAGGACAAGAGTGTTTCTGGAAATGACAGGAGATTTGGGAGCTGAACATAGAGATCTCCTCTCATGTTTGTCTCTTCCTTGAGTTCTAATTTGCACTTAAAAAATGCACAACATCGGGATTACGCTCATTTTTAGGCTGTTCTGCAAATGGGATCCTAGAGCGACATTGATTATTGATCAAATGTGAATGAAAGTGCATGAAATATTCTTTTTTAATGTAAATACGTTTGTATATCAAACTCAGTACTAATAAATCATGAAAGACACTTTAAAGATGAGACAATGCCTCCCTTTATACTAAATCCTGGAAAGCTGTAGGTTGAATTTTTTTCAAGATATAAAGCCACATTTTATCTCTCAACATAATTCAAAGGTTATATCAATAACTTCCACTATAATAAAACAACTAGAAAACCTCTTCACTTAGATTGCTACAGATAAGGTTAGCATTTTGTTTAAAGGCTTAAAAAGCCATCCTACCCTTCATATGTGAAGCTCTGTATGTGCGTGGTAATTGTGACCCACCAAGCAGTTTCTTATTAAACAACAACAGCGTCAGTTGGTGTAGACAGAAAACATAATTAGTATTCAAGCTTAATTAATCTACGCTGGCCCCCTTTAAGTGAATTAGTCAATTATTTATGCATGTGTGCTTCTTTGATGCTAACAGATTATGTATGTTGCTGGAAAAAAAAAAAAAAAAAAAACCTTGAAAATGACTTTGAAAACTTTCCTCTATAAAATGTCACTACAAGCTTCGGCTTTTACTTGGAAATGTCAGCGGAGAAACATGAAAAGTGAATGATTAAACATGAAAGAAATCTTCCTGGAATAAATGGTCAAACTTCTACAAATTATCATTGTGACCAAATCACTATGCAAGGAAATTTCAGTGCAATACAAGGAAAAGATTGCAAATCATTGTCTGGAAAATCCAGAGCAAAGGAGAAAATAAATCAGCCAAATATGTTCTTTTTTGTGTGCCCTAATCCCCGGAATGGAAATCTAACACAGGTCGGATCAAGGTCTTTTCTAGGATCATGGGAACTCCTTGGGATTTTCAAGAGCCTTTTTGTTTTTACCCTTGAGAACCAGGCACTGGCCTCTGCACCCCTCAATCCCCCATTGAGAACCCAGAGGCAGCGCGGAGGAATGCTAAATGTCAATGGTCAGAATGCAGCAGCACCTTCAGAGAATGAGAGACCGAGGTACAAGGCCTGACCTCCGTGTGCACGGCCACGCTGCAACGAGGGGGCCAGAAGTGAAACTGTACTCACACTGCTGAAGGTGTCCATCTCCTCCGACTGCAAGAGATCATCGCCGGCTGACCCCGATCTCCGAACAATAGCGAGGCCTGCAAAACAGAATGTGTGAAAACATGGTGAGAAAGTGTAAAAATATATACACATGATGAAACCTGCATGAATCACCGCTGCATGTGAGGAGAATCTGTTATCAACTCAAATTTACAAATCTAAATTTGCCTTATAATTCAAAGTTTGTTGACGTGATTAGAGCTCTTTTTATAGCTTAAGTGTGCAGCACAAAGGCGTTACACTATATCCCTTCTGCTTATGTGTTTAGAGAGGTTATCTCTGCGATGCATCTCAGAGAGTAAAGGACAATAAGCACCGTTTATTATCACAGATAACAAATTATTGGGCCTGATTATTCAAATAGTTTATTCATTTACATCTGAGACAATATCATTTGGTATTTTTATCGTCCTCTCCTATGGTAATTCACATGGCTTGCACAAGTTTCTGCTGAAATAGCAAAACAAACCCCAGGCGAAATGTGAAAGATTATCCCCATACCATGCGAGCTAGGATGAAATGCTATACTTTTTCACACTGAACACTGCTCCACTGGGTGTGATTGAAAAACATGTAAAGCTATTGAATCTGTGGTTTGTATATGTGAGGGGAAAATGAGTGTTGTAACAAGTGGGCCAGTGTTTTTGTAATTGTTTCAAATTACACTCTGCGTAATAACTCAGTGAAAGCGGAGCCGGTGTGCGGTCCGTACACATGAACTGGGAAAAGACCATCAGATATCCATGCACCTTATAACGGCCTGCAAAAAAAAAAACCTGATGGTGTACACAAGGATGGAGAATAAAACTCTTTAACTCTATTTCCAGGTGAGTCTATGTGTATTGATTGGCGCTTATCAGCAGTGACTCAAAAGAAGGATAATACTTTCAGATAAGGAGATACTTTGCAGAATTTCCTTTACATGTGTATTTTATTGAATTAAAGACTCCTTAACATGCTTTTAATTTGTTGCTTTTTAGTTAGTAATACAGCTGTGGGTGTGTTCGTGCATGTATGTTTTATACAGGCTGTAAAATCGGGATGATGTGAGAAAAATAAGTGCATTAGTTGTTAACTGCAAGCCTCCTGCCAAATACTCGCTCCCAAAACCAACGAGAAAGCCAACAACTATTGTTAATGACATAAAATACTGACTTACTTTATGCTTCAGGTTCAGTTTTTCAGTCAAAAGTCATTTGTGAATAAATTAACCGATCTCATATGCACACTCCTGAAGGATGCACCCATGTGAACTCACACTGTGTATATTTTTCTATACACACTTTCCATGCAAATATCTTCGTTTTTGACCCGCACGTCTCCTCTCTTAATCGCAGCATCATGCCGGCGATAAGCAGCTCTGGTCAAAGTTTAACAGCAGAAAGATGAAAGTGCTGTCAATTGATTGCCCTTTTCAATTTTGGAGCTGGGTAATGATTCTTACAGATGCTTTGGCATGACTTTTGTGGAACTTTTTTTTCTCCACAAAAACGAACTGTTTTCATAATTATATGCTAAATTTTCAATGATACTTTTCTAAATCAATGGCTTCTTGGCCTTCAGTCAGATCCTCAAAATCCCCTGACCCTTTAAGCATTTAACTTTGTTTGCAAAAATTAAACACTGAGTATAATGAATGTGGAAGTTCTTATATACTATCTCTGAAGTAGTGGCTGTTTATATGGAGTTAAAGCTAATAAACTGACTTACTGAGTACATCATTTTGTACAGAAAGAAGGCATCCACATCTCTCCTAAAATGACATGATACTATATCTGACCCTCAACCCTTTTCCCATCTCCCCCCTGCCCTAAGAATGACCACCTCCTCTGTCATCTCGTCAACTAAACTCAATCAAGCCTTAATCCAGAATGACAGTGGGTTCTGTGTTTGCACCAGACGAGGCACTTCCCCTTCTCTATGGCATAGTGCGACCTGAAATCTTCCCTTGACATTCTTTCTCTTTTCCACAAGCACGGATAAGGAATGTAATTCAATAGTCACCAGGGGACGGGGCAACATGCACCAAAGAATATTTTATTTGCTTGTGGACAGAGGCCTTTTCTTAGTGTCTGACAACACTAAGAGGGACAGTCTCCCTCAAGACACCGAGTTCACACAGCTGACAAAGAGGGTAGAAAAAGGGCAAACTCGTTCTTCTACGCAGAGCAATGGAGACATTCTACATTCATTTGTACTCTAAATGTACTCTTTGCACGTAAAAGTACACTTCCATGGGCATATAGGCAGTTCACTGTGAAGTAAACAGCAGTACAGTATGTTGAAGTGAATTCAGTCTATTGCATTCTACTGATGAATAGCAGGTACAGGCGAGTACAGTTTTTTGTCAAAGTGCTCTTGCTCAGGTAAATGTCGAGCAGTACACTCTGAAGTAAGTCATTTGATCCTACTGGATTATAAACCAAACAAAGAAAATAACTAGCACATTATATTAGTAACTGTATACAGGCATTATAGTATTTATGTAGGATTAAGAGGAGAGTTACCTTTGGAGGCCCGAATTCTTCTGCTGCATGGTCAGCTACACCTCAGTTGTCAAGGTAATGATGACGCAGATCACACACACACACACACACACACACACACACACACACACACACACACACGTATGCAAGTCCACACAAAGTCTCAGGTAACCTGCTCATGTTCACTTTCACTCACTGGAACAAAAACGTAAAGGAGAAAGTATAATTAAATTACACACATCTTAAATGAATACAGTCCATCATTTAGATCTCAGGTTCTTTCTTTACTGTTTGTTTCAAAGGGACTGTGTGTTTTTATTTGACACGTCCTCAACTCAACTGTGACCCTTTAAGTCATGTGCCAAGATACATTTGAATCTTTTGGCAGTCTCATCCACCAGATGGTATCTCTGTTTGTGTTTCAAATGATGTTTCATGATGACGAGTGTGGCATGACACTTCTTCAAAGATTGATTCACCAGAGATATTTCTTGTAAAGCAGGCTCCTTTATCACCTTTCAGCACAGAATGGACTCTAATGGTAGGGCGCTAACACTGCTTTGTCAACATCCATTATGTAGCAAATGACAATTCACACAAAAGTTCTTCCCGTGCATTATTTAGAGGGAACTGCAGACAAAGGTGTTTCCTCAGCTGAAGACAAAGCTTTGCAGCAGCTGTGAAGAATAGGTGTGGAACGCCCGGCGGATCGGCCCGCTCACTTCTGGCATAGGGCATATAAACACAAAAGTCCCCTTCAGAACATATCGGGAAATCTTGCTAATGCTTCCCTCAGAATAAACAAACTGGGCTTTATTTATTACTGCAAAGCCATCAGGCTATTGGTGGCCTTTTCAACGGTGGAAGAGAGATTGCTCATAAGGAATAGAAATGAATGGTCCTCATTCCTTTTTTTCCAAAAAATAACATAAATGTTTGGTTTGAAATAAAGTTGTGATTGGTGCTGTGACTCAGTTTTTTTTTTGCATTCTAGTACAATGTCTCCTTAATTATGCTACAGTCCTATAACAATCAGAAGTTAACAAGGCACAATAATAGATCATTAATGCACATTTGAATCAATATACTGCATGCCAAGACGATATTTGCAGCACCCTCATTACAAACTCCTGGGATCAGTTTTTGCTCATTAGGCTGGTTAAATGTGGTCTAAATAAGATGCCCAGCGATTTGGACCCCCCATTACCTGGCTAAGCTGTCGTTGATCGTTTATGCGATTAAATATAGACCTAAACCTCCATCCTATCCAATTAATTCTCTGTGCAGGCATGAGAGTGGCTAATGATGTTATCTTTCCTAATTAACCTGTATAGGGATTCAACTCCAGGACAGGGGATTGTTCATCCTTCATCCAAGTGTTCATTATTATCATTACAATCATTATCATAAAGGGTCTAACTTATGATGTTGGCCGTTTCATCACCATTAATCTAGATTGAGTTTTTTTTTTTTTTTTTTCTTTTTGGGGAGGGGATCCTTTGGGGTCATTTTTAATTATCACTAAAAGGATGGGGATTCTAGCAAAGCTGGGTAAGTTCAGTTGTGGTCACAGCAATCACTGGAATCCCAAGAGACCACATTACAGGAATGTGATTTGACTACTTATGACTGAGGGGACATTTCTGATTTCACTGTTTATGGGGCCCTGCATTCCTGCACGCCGTGAAACTCTCCTTACACTTCTCTGTCAGCTTTCCCGTTCAATGCCGGCGTCAGCCTATTAACGCAGCAGACTTGGAGCAGATCAATAGCCCTCATTGGGCCATGTGTCATTAGTTAATCGGATATTGATGAGGGTATTGACACGCATCTAATTAATCTCAGGCCCAGTGCCGGCTTTCATATGTTTCCTTAATTATGCACTTCATCTTAGTCCTTACACATCAGCAGGCTGCTGCTTCCTGTTTGACAGTGAGTAAAAGTTTGCTGTCAAGTCTCGGATTGTATGTTTTCTTTTTCCCTTCTTTGCACTTTTTAAACTGTGACATACTGCAGCAGCAGCGGTGGAGCAAATGGCCACATTAAGCATTAAAAGATCTGAACTTTGACACCTGAAAATTGCACTGCTTAACTGTTGCATGTAATGTTATGAAAGCAATATTCCTAAGAGTGTCTGACGCATTACCTTATATATTTTTATTCGAATATAATGTAAATCAGTGACTGAACAACAACAAATGCTTCATTAAAAAAATTCACTTTTAATCAGTTAGAATGCTCCCACTTCCTGGAATCAAAACAAATAAATAAACATTTAAAATTAAAAAGTAATAACTGAATAATGTACTAGAATAAAGTTAACATGCATTTACATGCCCATGTTTACTTGGCTGCACTGGTCAACTCATGCTGCACCTGTTACATTTATTTTTCTTTTAAAGTATGCATGCATGTAACCTTTGTTAATGTATATGCTATGAGATCTGAAATCCTATCTTTGTGCTTTATGCACAAGCATATATGTGTGTGTGTGTGTGTGTGTGTGTGTGTGTGTGTTTGTGAGTTGACGCATACAGGCTGATCAATAGCACTCTGCATTAGCGTGCTGGAGTACAGATGAGAGAGCACCTGAAGGTGACCCTGACTACTGACATCACCACAGGGCTCCAATAAGCTGCTCCTCAGCCGCTGCTCTGCGGAGCACAAATCTCCAACTTTTAGCCTGCTGCTGTTGGTTTGATTATTGTTTATAGATACAGCCGAGAATTAAAGTATGGCCTGCAGGCAGCATAATTATTTACAGCTGAAAACTCATATCATTACCAGCATGCTCCTAATTGCCAGAAGTAATATCAATGTTAGTTGATTAAGTGTATTTTTTTTTCATCTCCTCTCTCCATAATGTGCAGAGATTGTTTTCCCTCAGCATATGGGGTGACGGTTTATCTCAATACAGCTGTTCATCTGGCTTGACTTCTATTTATTTATTTATTTTCACTCTTCATTCCAAAATACAATATTGCAGAATCTTCAGAGGGGAGCGATCGATTGCTCCACTTTTTGTAGTTTGCTCACAAGGTCAAAGAAAACACAGGAGATTCATCCTTCATTGCTCAAAAATAAATTATCTCTGTAAAGATTTTCCCTAAATAGCAACACATGTGACTTAGAGGGGCAAGAGCTGACTGTTCGACTCAAGGAGATGTCAGAGCTGAAAAGAAAAGGCCACTGGGCTGTTCGAAAAAAAATCTTTTAATTCAAGATCAAATGATTAATTAAAGCAAATGTTTATTTTGCCTGCCCACCCCACCCCACCCCCCATCACCACCCCCTCACTATGAACACGTCAAAATATTTCATCCTGTATTTAAGGCAGCAGGAAAGATGAAGCTATTAATAACAGTGCCTGTGAAGGGAAAAATACATAAACCTTGAAGGCTACTTTATTATTCACATGTAGATTACTCATACATGAAAATTGCGCTGCGGCTCTAGAAATGTATTTTCTGGACCTGAGCTTTGAAATCTCATACTGTGAGTATATGCACTGTTTTAAAATTACATTCAAAAAGTCCAACATCCAATACTTCTTACAGTCATTAATTTATTTTTTAAATGCATTCTCTTTGCCAAATAACTTAATAACAGAATTTGCCGTGTTTAAAAGATGACTTTGCTATGTACATCATTTCATCTATTGGTGCTAACATCTATAGAGGACAAAAACTCTATGTGTATTTTGATATAATGGTATGTAGTGTTACTGTAGTCAGGAAACTATTGCTTCTTAGTGTTGTTCTTTCAGCATTCTGCTTCACAATCCAAAGTAAGTGTGTCATTGGTCGGACTTTGCTGTTTTTAATTTCTGCAATCATTCTCGTCATTCTAACTTTGCA